AATCCTAAACAGTGAAAAAAAAACCTAATTAAATTGGTACTAGGGATGTAAAATCCCAGTTAAACAGTTGACTGACTAAACCTTAGGTTTACCAAGTTAACCAATTAAGCAGGATCCCACCCCAATCCTCTGCTTCTGCTCCCAGCCCCCCTGCGCATAAGGCTCCTGGCTGCTGCTACTAGTACCCCTTCTCAGGGGGGGAAGAGCAACAGCTCAGCTTCTGCTACCGGCCCCCCCACTGGGGGGGGGCAGCTCCCAATCCTTATGGGTCTGGAGCAGCCTTCAACTGGAGGGCTGAAGCTGCCTATGTGAGGCAACCAGTTTCTGCTCCCAGCCCCACTCCCCACACTTGAGTACCAGTTAACTGGTATCTGGTAAGAAGCTGGTAACTACTCTTGGGTACCGGTTAACTGGTACCTGGTAAGCATCACCCAGTAAAAATGATGCTATCGGGTAACTGGTTAAACAGTTACCTGTTCACATCCCTCATTAGTATTCCTGGATAGATTGTCATAGAAATTCTTATACCAGATTAAACTAGGAGCCCATGTAGTCCAGTACCTTGTGCCTGACAATGCCCGATACCAGACGCTTTAGAGCAGTGGTTCTCAATTAAGGGTATGCATATTTCTAGGGGTACACAGAGTTCTTCCAGGGAGTACATCAACTCATCTCGCTATTTGCCTAGTTTTATCAAGTCAGTACAAACTAAAATTTCAGTGACTTATACTGCTCAATATACTTGGATTTCCTTTGAAATGTAAGTACAACATTTATATTTCAATTGATTTATTTTATAATTATATGGTAAAAGTGAAAAAGCAAGCAATTTTTCAGTAAGAGAGTGCTATGGCACTTCTGTATTTTTATATTTGAATTTGTAACCAAATAGTTTTTAAGTGAGGTGAAACTTGGGGATTCACAAAAAAAATGTAGTGTCATGAAAGGGGTACAATAACTTGGAAAGGGTGATTTATAGGACAGTGTCAAAAACTCCTGTAATTCCAGAATATTCTGCCCACAGATTAAGTTTCTTCCTATCATTAGGCAGTTATTGATCAGTTTATGCCCTGAAACACAAAGGTTTATACTAGGGATGTGAAGGTTTAACCAGATAACCAGTAGGCCTGAAGCAGCTCCCTGCTTGCAGCATGGGGAGAGGGAGGTGTTACAGCCCAGGTGTTGGCGGGGAGGGGGACTCACGGGATTTTACATCCCTAATTTAGATCCCTTGTAATGTTTATCCTATCTAATACAACTGTAGAATATTCCCTTTTTGCACATTTTCTGACTGTCATGGCACATTGAATAGATACCGCAAGGCAACAGGAGGTGTGCCACGGAGAACAACAGAGTTCAAAATGGCCACCCTTAAAGGAGCAGGCTCAATAACCCTCTCCCCCCTCCCCAACAAAAAAATCCTTGTTGTTCCTCATAAAAAAAATATTGTTTGGGGTTCCTCGGTCTTAAAAAGTTTAAGAAACACTGCTATACACAATGATGACTGACTTTTTTCTGAGCAGCTATAGTTAATTTAGATCCCAGCAAGCATCCAAGAGATGTTCTAGTTGTTCCTCCCAAATTACCACCTTTCATTTGTCGGTGCTGAATGTTATCCAGTGGACACACCAATTCTCTTGCAGGCTTCCTGCTTCGGATCAACTATGGTAGGGGTGGCCAACCCATTACAGATGAAGAGCTAAAACAGTGGTGGATATAGCTCAAGTTGTTGAGGGAAAAAAAAAAAAATTGCGTTTTTAAGAGCAGAGCCATTTGTCTCTTTTAAGGCAGCCATTTTGAAGGTGTCCACATTTTGAAGTCTGCACGGAACACCGCGACTCCAGCTCTGTCTCTTTCAGACAGAAACACACTGCCCCTTTAAGAGCTGAAAGCACAG